GTATGATAGGCCGTGCTATACACTCAATAACTATAGAATAATCACACTGCGTAGTTACACACATATACAGTTTAACAATATACTAAAAATACCAAGTTAGTAGTTAGTAGTTTCTAAATATTTATTATCAGGTTGTCAGCAAGGCCAAGTAGCAACTGAAACTCGACATACTAGCCCGCCCAACAAATAAAGGCGGTCGAAAACGCAAATGTGATATGATTAGCTGTCTTCAATATACGGGAATATCATTGAATCGATGTTAAATGTTAAGATTAGGAACATATGATTGGTCACTATATGATTGGTCACTAAAAAAAGAAAGTCTATCAATATGATTAAATTCGACCATTGCGACCAATACGACAACGACACGTCACATTAATATCAGTGTCGTTTTCTAAAACGACACGTCGTATTCATTGCGACTCGTTTCGTTTACCAGATCAGCTAAAAGCCTATATTTGTATTTTTATAAAACAAAAATGAAAAAGTGGACAATGGGTTGAGCAATAGGGTTAGAAAATAGCCTCAACAATTGTCCATTTGTAACATCCACCTCGTGTTGTTGGGTGCAGCCGTCTGCACTGAGCACTCTACAGGGCGTGGGCCGTGGAGCGTGGGCCTTGTGCACCTGGGGGAATGGGGGCGGGGGTAATGGGGTTTGCCCTTTATTTTAAAAGAGCAAATTGCCCAATAGCTTCCTGAAAATTCAAGAGTGTGTATCGCCTTTTCGCCGTATCGGTTAGTATTTACTTTTACAGATAGTTCAGTTTTTTAGTAAAAAATCAATCTAGGTTGCTTAGCACTGTATGACCATGCAGTGATTGTATTGAATATAGATTGTTTGGCTGTACTCTATTATTCTATAGTGTGTACTATGTACTCTGTACTCTGCTGGGAGGGGGGGGGTCGTCTGTCTCTCTGAGACCTGAGACCTGAGTCCATACATTGTAAATACTCCCCAATCCCCATACATAGACTCATCAAGGTGATGGAGACTATTTAGTATTTACTCTCTACAGCAAGCAGACTGTTGACTGTTGGTCGTTGGGACCGACGTGTTGCCAGTTGGGACTTGGGACTGTCGAGTGTAGATTATATTTATAAATATATATAAAATAAATAGAACCTGAACAAAGTTGTGAACTCAGAACTGCAGTAGTGCAGCCTGCACTCCCTCAGTCCCTCACTCCCTGCAGTGACCAGGCTGCAGGGCACAGGCTCTGGAGACTGGACTCTGGAGGCAGTATTTAGAGTGTTTTAACTTTTTTTAGTGTTAGGATCACTGGATCAGGTGTCCGTGGACTCGCTTGCGCAGAATGCTCACCCATTGGGATTTGGGCCAATACCATTTCAAAATAAGCGTTCAACGTAAATTCAAATCAGGACTTTTAATATTATTAAAAAAGGGGATGTTTATTGAACTTCAGTGCTTTTAGTTTTGCTTAAAAAAATAGAAAAAAATAGTACATATTTGACCAGTTGTATTTTTATTTAAAAAAAAAAATAACAGTGTGTTTTATTGTTTTTTTTCTCGAAAATTTACAATGACGACATAATTTTGGAAAAAATTGAGGCCAAAAACAAAAAAAATCTGTTGACCTAGTATAGACTAATAACTTAATAAGGTCTGACTGAGGGCCTGAGCCTCCCTGAGGGCTGAGGCATCGGCGCATAGTCTTCAAATAGTAAATCCAAAGCTGTCCTGATGAGGGCTCAGGGGCCCAGGGCAGACAAGGGCAATAGAGCAAGAGACATGACCATTTTACTTTTTAGGCATACGCCTTTCTGTCAGTGACTAACTGACTGTGTAAATAGTATGTACTACTAGTAGTAGTAGAGACTAGAAGAGATAATGCATGTTAAGTTGGTGACTGGTGGCGTGGTGACGTGGTGAGCAGTGACTAGTGACGGACCGACAAAGTGACAAGTCGGGGGGTTACCTGACTACTGGAGTCGAGTCTGAACTCCTCTCTGTCCACAATACTATTTCTGCAAAACAAAATAGGAAGTAAATCCGATTTTACTCGCTCCCTGTAGTGTCAGATTGTATTTTTTATCAAGAGAGAAGAAACTTAATAATATACAATAAACATGCACTGCGGTTCATATTGACTCGAAGATATGTACTATTTTGCATACATCTCATTCTTAAAAATATGTATATTTAATAGCAGAAAGTGAAGAAACGCACTGATATGTCGAGATCATAGTATGTTTCAACATGATGGGCTTATGGGCTACATTCAAGACAGTGTATTGTACACGGACCATAGCCGAGGAACAGTATTTTGTTGTGTCACTTTCGGCTTCAATAGTATATTTCATCGCACTGACCACTACCTTTGCTCTTAGTATGTACGTTTGCGGGATTAACGTATCGGAAAATACTCGGCCCCTTTTCAACCCCTCTGGACAATGGTACTTCAACACGGTAGCGTCTTTTTTTGCATCTGGGAATTTTAGTCTTCACCGTTATCTTGATCCTAGCACTAATATCGTTATGTCACTGGAAGCGAAAATTTTACCTGATCAAAGCTAGAGGTTTGTCATTTATTGTTGGCTTGGGTGTTTCTTCATTCCTTTCCATAGTGGGTGTCTCGATGGGGGTTGTCAAAGACCACTGGTACGACTTGGAAAGTGTGTCAAAATGGTATCAATATATTAGGTTACTTTTGGTGACGGCCGGGGCGGCATCAATTTTATCACTGATAGCCACCAGGCAGGCCTTTTTATATTTCATTTTTGTAGTATACCCATACTCTCAGCGGTCCCACCGTCGAAATCTCAGTATAGTATACCTTCTTAAACCCTTCTGGCTGAGAACATCAATAATAACTTCGGCATGTACTCCAGATTGGGCAGTCTCGTACCTTTTATTCCGCCTATTTTCGTACTAGTCTGTTTCGCGTGGAAGTCGCGAAATATTAGTACCAGGTTTGGCTACTGGGAAAGCTACGCAAGGCTTGGCATAGCGATTCTCCTCTCTTCTCTTATATCGGGCGTGACACTGCTTTTATGGCCTTCAACTAGTACAGGGATGCAGCCAATATGGTTTGTGCTCATCATCGAATATGAGCGGATGTGGTTGATAGCGATTACCATGTGCGAATTGCTGTTGACTTTATCTATACTGGCTCTGCTGAATGTGCAACCACAGGATAAGTTGCATCCGAAGAATACTCAGAATATCACCTTTCAGAAGGCTTTGAAATCGGTTAAAGATGCATCTCAGGACCAGTTCGCCGAGATGGTCACCGCAGATCGGATTGAAATCATAATAGCGCGCAATGATGCTGAGCCCGACAAGAAACTACAGTCGTCTGATAGGCTGTCTCCCGCGAACATTTCTATGCGTTCTCCATTATCTGGGGAACACGCTGAAGGCTACGTGTCGCGCACATATAACGGTAGTTTGGGTAATGCCCTTAATGAAAACATCATATCGTTATAGCATGAGCACTGAAAACGAACGGCAGTGTATGCGAACAATTTTAGAACCAAAGGGCGTCGCTCAACATCCGAGCTTAAATGAAGCTCTACACAACACGTATTAATTCTATCACATCGATATCACAACGAATGATACCAACGTAGTGAAGTCGGACGAGCAGGTAATTTGTCAGGACCCACACGCGTACCCTGCCGGTGGCAACGATATGTTCCATAATTCCAGATCTCTAATCGGAACTCGATGCGATAGACAAAATGCCGCAGTTGACAGAATGGTGGCGATAGCGTGCAGTGGGCACAACTTGTTGTACAATATGTACATTTTTAGGGTTCAGGGTTTAGGGTTTATATGCACATTTACATCACGTGCGACGCCACAACCACAACCACGGGTTGCTGCTTTAGAATGAATTTCTAGCACGCAGGCCGAATGAGGTATCCAAGAGGGAAGTTGAAAAGAAACCTTGAGCGCCTAATTCTCGACACAGAGACTTAAGTTCAGTATAGAAAATGCACAAAAGTGGGGCCTAGTGAAGACTTAACTCGGTGGAGTTAGTACCAATTCCAAATTTAGTATAAAAAGCCACACAGCTAATAGAATTGTGATGATCAGTCCGACACCGAATTCAGCGGAGACTTAAAAAGCAAGATATATCAAATTTGCACTAGTTCATACAAACGTTACGATTTATTTTGCCGTTGCACAGACAAGTACTTTTAGCAATGTGCATGACAATTTGAACCTAGCAATAGCACACCACGGTGTCGTCAACTTCACTATTACGATCATCCGCAAAGCGACTAGGTATCGGTAAGTTTTGCGCACAAAAACTTGATAGTTTTACAGAATCGGTGTGAATATGATAGTCGTCAGCGATGGGCATCCCACAACTGAAAGTCAAAGTGAGTTCTTTTATAATCGTTTCAGGACCTCTCTGCCTTTGTCTGGCAGAGCACTCATCTCTACTAGCATTCTTAATTAGCCACGTTCTGAGAATATCAAACTAATGATGGAATAGACGGATGGATGTGTGTGCCATGGCCATCTTGTGTTCATTGACCGCTTCAATGACAATGCTATCAGCCACTGACCCCGAGGGTGACGCAACGAATGAGACTCCACTCTGCGCCGCTCGGTCGATGTTGTCGCGGAAGGGGAAGAATGCATCTGAGCTCACACACACGCCACTGCAACAAGTGAGGGACGATAAACATTTGTATGAGATCTCGAGTATACCAGTAGCACGTAAAATCAAATACAGGACGAGTATAAGAGGGTTCATTGATAGTATCTGGCTAACTCAGGAATGAAATTAACTACGAGAAAACCTAACACTATTGCGACAGGGAGTGATAATGAAGGGTGCGGAGGCGGAAACAAATTTAAAAACGTTCAAAAGTACACACAACGTGTAGAAAAATGATATGTATTCAATCCCTATTCAAATGTTTCAATACATGTCTCTGGGTTATCTCATTAGGTAACAAGAACAAGATCATTCATGCGCTATCCTAGTATCCTATAATGCACATTCAGATATACACTCATGTCTATTCGGTTTATGGACATACATCACAATCATTTAAAATTCATATTTCGAATCTCTACAACGACATTATCCAATAGTATCAAACTCCGGATACTCACAAAAAAAAACCCCACTATCCAGATACGCACTATCCCTATCGTCCACTCTTCTATATAGGTACCTGAGCGTAGCCATCCACTCTTTGCGCTCAGCGGATGTGAAGGGCTCGGGTGCGGTCTCAAAACTACTTGCAAAACTCTCCTCGGAGATATCTTCGCCAACAGTTCCACGGACAAATACATCGATGAGATTCGACTTGTCAGCACGCTTGGTGCCCTAATTATGGGACAAATTGCAGAAAATAAATAAAAATAATTTACATTCTTAATACAAGATACAATACGGGAAATATAAATTGCACCGCTGTTCGCGCAAGCTGAAACACTAGCCAACACTCCACACAACAACGATACGTCTCAGATTTATTTGAATTTATGTCGTATTAACCGGCAGTCGAACTTGTCAGCTGCCAACCGCGTGCAGTCAAGGGCTTAAATACACAGTACCGCTGAAAAGCGTTATCCGATATACTTTTACAGTCGGCCATATTCCTTGTTATCGTTGCATATGACACAAGATATACACATACTTTTTTTTTGTAATACTCAATACACCACGCACACCACACAATTATAGATACTGACTTGGAAAATGATACTCAATACACGTGGAGGTTGCCTGATCCGACAATCATCAGTCGTCTCGCCCGCTCGTGACATCCAATAAGAAGATAATTATCATTCACTCATACACGCAATCTCACGGATGCCAGGTACTAAGGGATACTACACAATTACACAGACACACACCTTCTTAAAATTTAGACCCAGTACACGGGGGTGTTGCCTCATCCACCAGTTGTCAGCCTTCTCACCCGCTAACCGCGTGCAATGAATTCGACTCTGTTGTCCAGCGCCTAGACCAACAACTTGGCCGTCCTTGGAATAGCACACTGTATTCGGATTGGCGTAGTCAATGGAGACTCAGTCAAGTGTGAATACTATTAACGAAGACTACTATGAAGCTCTCTAGCTTTGATCTGACGGGGTTCCAATGAGCGGCAAGGCGCTTTCAATCCAACTAGCGTCTCCAATATTATAATAGACTACTGTGAGGACTGTTCATCGGTACAATACATAAACGAACGACAATGCCAACTAGGTCATGAAAAAAAAAGTCCGCCGACCAGGCCACGTACGGCTCGTACACAAACGATTGTATCATGTGCAGACCTACCCGAATTACTCTGCGTGTACTTGAGTGCAATGGTTCCCACAATGAGATCTCTGACCGCATCCTCTCCAAGCGTCCCAATTTCGCTGACCACATTCTGGAAGTCGTCCTTGGTGACCTTGTGGTTGTTACGCTTCTGCTGCATGGTCAGACCAAACACCTCACGCCTCTCAAGCTCGGCTGGCTCGAAGGTGGGGTCGATCTTGAGGAGTGTGTATTTGCCCCCCTTCTTCTTCTTGAGTATCTCCAGGGCCTCGGCGGAATAGCCGGGCGCGATGACTCCATCACTGACCTGTCAGTGGAGTGAAGCAACTAAGACGTTACGATCGTTTATAAACATATATACACGTGTCTCGTCAATTTGGGGGCTGACAAAGAGGTCCTGATAAAAGGAGACGATACTAAGTGTGTGCCTCTTGTGTACGTAACAATATACGAAACAGTGTCTCAACTGCCCTATCCGACACAACGACTAGATCACCCAGCACATACTTCTCTGGAGATAATCCTGGCAGTACTTGCGTCACACTCATCACTCAGAGACACCCAATCACCGAACGACGACATGCGGTCCGCTCCACGCGCACGTGCGTAGGCACAGGCCAACGGCGAAAGATCAGCGATATCATCTACCATGCACAGCTTCTTGTCAGCATCGCTCATGGGCACGAATACAGCCGCGCCTGGGGATGTATGTAAGGTATAGGAATATACTCTGGTTTAGTATATTAGAGCACTCTTTCAAAGCATCGTAGACTTCTTAGGTGGGGTCTGTGTTTGGTTGGGCATAGTGTTGTCTTCGGGGCATAATATACACTCCGTATCCTTTCACAGCAGAACTATGGATAGGCAAACCTTATACACAGCAAAATCCCTTATAGCGCATACGAATACTCGAGCACGCTCCACATCGTGCATAACGGACCGTTGATTATGGACGATACCCTTCCCTCTACCACAGGCAAATGCCCTTACAATGGACCTACATCGACATACATAGCACCTCCTTGCGCTACACACACATTTGTTATATACTCAACCTCTCCATAGACCAATCGCTTACGCTCTTTCACACCACATCTCCACAAACAGCACCCATACACCCAAAGATGAGTGTGTCGCATAGACTGGAGTACCCCAATAAACCGACGTCTGAACATACACGCCACCCTTCCATCAGTATGGGCACATGACCTCATCGATATAACACCCTCAAGAACAGTAAACTTGTCATTCTCCTTACTACATATGCATAAACAGTGAACATATACCCTGGTACTCCCATATCTGCAGAGTACACAGTGGTCTACGTATACTACTTCACCACACCTCCCATATGTAACAAACATCTGCACATACACATTGCCCATCCTTCATATACACTCTCCCCATCCATACACATTGCCCATCCTTCATATACACTCTCCCCATCCATACACATTGCCCATCAATCCATCCTTCATATACACTCTCCCCATCCATACACAGCACCCATACAAGCTAACCAACAAGTCATACCTGCAGGCGACACGTGCTTGAAGGACGCAGCAGCTGGTAGGCCCAGAGCGGCCTTGAGTTCTCGCACTAACTGCCAGCCATTGAGTGCGTCTAGATAGTTGATGTATCCGGGGCTACCGTTGAGCACCTCGACGGGTAGCTTGCCATCGGGGTTGTAGATTTGCGCGGGCTTTTGGTGGGGGTTGGCACCGTAGCGGAGTGTGTACTGTTTTGTTTGGACGACGAAAGAGGCATGAATTCCTGAGGACTTTGCAGACTGAAGTTATAGGGTTTAGGGTTTGTACGTATAGGTAGTATGCGATCCGGTGGTCGAAGGGTTAAACAAAGTAGCGACGACGTAGCGGAGATGCTCGCGTGTATGTGATATCGGCAATCAGCAGAGGTCCAGTAGATCAGTTCTCCTGCGAATCAGTTTTTGTTCAACTGTCTAGCGAATTTCAAACCCGGAGCCAATACGTTTTCCCGAAAAATACCGGCTCACTTCACGCAAAAATTGGAATCTGTTTCTCACCTCTTTCCTGAAGCTAGCACATTGCAGAATATGTGCAGTACTTCATAGTGCACACACCACTCCAATGCATTGACACACACACACAATAGAGTACAATGCAATACATTGCCCAGAACAAAGTTACAAGGTTAGAGATCGCATATAAACCTTGCATATCCGTGTACCTGCTGACCGGCATTGGGATATTCGATACGCATGTAGTTAGAGATCGCATCATCGTAGTGGGCCGTGTGGCAGAAGGCCTTCACAGCCAATGCCTGTCGCAGTTCCGAGGTGATTGTACCGTCGCCCGATGCCTTTAGCTCGGAAATAACTGTGTGGGTGAAAATTGAAATATATATATATAAGGGCCGGAATATATGAATAACTATAAAGTGACATAACAAGGTCAGTATCAACCTATGAGATCAAGACCAATGTGTATCAATGGTACTACTACAACGCAGAATAGCAGTCGCCTCAAAGGCAGGCGTAGCACAGGTGAATACACAGTCGTACACAGGTTGGGAGTCAGTCACAATAGACATACAGAATTAACCACACCATACAACACACGCATGTACAAGTTTATACCCCGCCGGACAACAGTCGACTGCACGAACACTCGAAATCTGCTACAACGATAATGGTGTGATATTCTCCGCAACACCATGCGATCGTGTAAGTTTAAGCTCAAGAATGATGTCTACGGCGTGGTGTGCATAAAGCTGAAGCCCCCATGCTAACCATATCAGCTACATATGCACACACGGGAGGTTTAGCTCACCAATCAATCACATACATACACAAGGCGATTAGCTCACCGTATCAGCTACACACACAAGGTGATTAGCTCACCCTATCAGCTACACATGCACACACGAGGTGCTTAGCTCACCCTACCAGCTACACATGCACACACGAGGTGTTCAGCTCACCCTATCAGCTACACATGCACACACGAGGTGTTTAGCTCACCAATCAATCACATACACACACAAGGTGATTAGCTCACCCTATGAGCTACACATGCAAACACGAGGTGTTTAGCTCACCAATCAATCACATACACACGCAAACAGGAGGTGCATAGCTCACCCTATCAGCTACACATGCACACACGAGGTGTTTAGCTCACCAATCAATCACATACATACCCTTTGTGTAGTCGGAGGGATCGCAGATGACCGTCACGCGCGAGTGGTTCTTGGCCGCCGCACGCAGCAGTGTCACACCCCCAATATCAATATTCTCTACCGCATTGGCCACAGTCACATCGGGCTTAGCCACCGTGTTCTCGAAGGGGTAGAGGTTGCAAGCAACGATGCTGATGTAGTCGTATCCCCTGTTCTTCATATCTTCTTGATCTCTGGCAGACTCAGTGGCGAGGATACCACCGTGCACGGCTGGGTGCAGAGTCTTCACACGCCCGCCAAGCATTTCTGGAGCGTTTGTAATGTCGGCTACATCCCTACAATACGGTTATAAATATAAATATAAATATTTATGTATATATGTTTAATACGGGGAATATGACGGACAAACGTGATGACTAATCGCGTGGTGTAGCGAAGGCAACAATGGACCCCAGTTGCGACAAGGGGTTCAAAACTGTCTCCTGCATTTAATTAGGATCCTCGACAGTACATAATCTACCTCACTCCATGACATCCTCTCTACTAGCTTGACATACAACAGATACAGAAGGTGGGGGTATATAATATAATACATATAAATCCCCCACTTTAATGTATACTGGAAACAACATATACTCTAGTTGGCTTCAAATGCTTCAGATAAAGGGAGTTTATACCATGAATACAGCATCCACTTTAACCGGTATCACTATACAACAGATCAGGAAGTTACACCATATAAACATCATTTACTTTGACAACGCGCAAGCCGCTCTCGCGAATGTCTTCCGATAATATTCACTCTAACTTGAAATACACAAAAAGAGATACAGGGATTCCACATAAAACAGGAAAGATACAAACACGCGCAATGAGCTGCACATACTTTACGCTAAGGCCGCTGTCGCGACAGGCTTTGGATGTGCCACCCGAGGCGACCAGACTGACACCCAAGTCATTCAATTCCTTGGCAAATTCGACAAGTCCAGTCTTGTCACTGACGGACAGGAGAGCTACGCATGTATACATGACAAAGGGGGCGTAAGTGGTTGCTAATTGCATGCAATAACAAAGAGAACACTTTTCGGAAAGCTTGTGAGTACATCGAGGGGGTACAAAAGGTTATTAGTTGCATGCACCAACAACGAGAATGTGAGAAGTCAACAAGACTGTACTGGTCACTGACAGACAGTAAAGCTGCGTGTATGTAGCGAGGGAGTGAAAGTGATTTATAGTTCCGTATGATTGCAAAAGAATGCTATGCGATACGCCTGGGGTGTAAGTGGTTACTGGTTTCATTAGTTCATAACTTATATACAATCAAACATCTGGTATATATAAGATGTAGGCTTATGTTATTACTGCCAGCTTCACCCCTTCAAGTATGAACAAAGAGAAGATATATATGACGCGGTGGTGTGAGGGATTGCTAGTTTCATAGATGCATTTAATAATACCAATGAGCAAACAATCCGTGATTTTTTTTATAGCAAACTATAAGTGGTACATTGGTTACTCAAGTAATAGTAGACACCGGGGTGCTTATCGCGAATACATACAATGATTCAATACATGGATAATTCAAAAGATATCATATAGTGTCGCGTGCTACACAAAAAGTGCACATTCATGATGGCCATATTGGCAAAATGTTCCTTAGCAACGGGTGAACAATCCTGAATAACTCGTAGCACGTACCAGTGATTGGTGCCATACTGAGGTCTGAATTAGATTGCCTGTATCCAAACCCGAGAGAAGAGATGATGTATTGGAGTGTGAATTCGTCAACGTTGCTACTTGGATATATACACATAAATAGCGTTTCACAACGTATTCTGGATTATCTTGTGTGTCAGTGCCAGTAGTGACAGGCCATCATGCGTGCTTCCAGTACTATCTGATTAGATCTCGGAATTTGAGACAAAGATGTTTTATGTTGTTACGAACTGTCATCAATTATTATATAGGATGAGTTTTACTATGAGACTAGTAAATTAGAGTTTGCAACAAATATTTACGACAATATTTTCAAAAAATGTAGTGGAGTGTGATTGAAACTAATAAATAAAAATCATGGCCTCCAAGTTTCCAACTCCAAGGCTCCATGGAACATATTTTAACAGAGAGTGTCAGACTGTCAGGGACCCTGAAAGCGCGCCAGAATTCTAGTTCCAATGATGATAGGAAATCAGAGGATAAAGGAAACAATCCTGTATTCTGCGGTTGGGACACCCGAAAGTCTTCTTAAGGACTCCATTGTGTCTTCACCGCAAACCTGTGCAATTGTTGAAAGCGGAGAGGTTCTTAGAAGAATACAAAATCCCAGACATGAGGTACATAGGCTACGGTATTGCAAATATAGAATACAAGTTTTGGATACCGAGTTACCGACCTGTATAGTTTAAATAAAAGAAGGACAAATCTATTACAACTGTGCACTAACTCTGACGGTTCCGAAATACCTAACTTGCCACCTGGTTCATATGTGAAAATCTATCGGACCTGTTCACATTTAAAGCGAAGACTTGTAGCTAACTAAGGCTTACAAGAGCAAAAATTAATACTAAACTGCAAAGTTTGTATCACAAGATTTCATTATCGTACATATACAATGCTAAATCACCTTACTTGGCAAATACGATGTATGACCGAAACAGGTTTACTTACGGCAAGAGACCTAAAAAAGAACAACTTACGGCTTCCTATTCTTTAAAAAAAAAAACAGTACAGAAAAAACGGGGAAAAGGGAAACCCTACCATCTCTGTACCCAACAAACCCTACGTATCGATGAAATCATTTCTGTTCGCCGCAAAGTTGTATTTTTATACATAATTTTGTAAAAACATATGTTTGTGTCAATATCAGCCCACAGCAAACATCGAGAGTGTAAGACGAGAATAAGGTAAATAGAGTTGGCTTCTGCTGCCGGCGTAGAGAACATCAGAAATATCAGACGACGCGAGTGGATTTAACAACAACCAGAAATACTTAGATTACGGATCAATCAGATCGGTTGCATTTAAATTAGAAGTGGTGCATTGGTGTTGCGAGATACCATGAAGTTGAGCGCTCCGCCTGGGAGGGGCAGTGACAACCGGTCATATGATGAGTCTTCTGAGGGCGGGTATGTGATTGGTGTGATGTTTAGTATGTTTATGGCTTTTACATTTGGCTTCTATAACTAGGTACTTTTCCCAATGAGAGATCCGCTTGATAAAGTGTACAGTCAAGAGAATTTGTTTTGACCCGTGAGTAAAATTTCCGCTGCCGATGTGTGTAAGTCACGAGTGTTCCCAAGTAGGACTCTTGGCTATTGTTTGTGTGTACTTGACAATCATTCGTTGTAGTTACAACGTATGTACGGATAACACGCTGGAAAATTCATAGTTCATTGAGCACCACCGACGGCGATGCCTTTGGCTTTTTGACCCAGTTGCATTACATTGAGTACTTCTCGCCCGTGTATCCTGGTGAATAGAACCAAGGTCCGAACACTTTTCCATCCAGAATGCCCCTATTTAGACAAAAGTAGTGGCCTGTAGAGACGAAAATGACGGGTATCTCAAGTCACGATATGGCCCTGTTCACAACGATGCGTATCTGGGATATACACTAGATAGGTACACCTATACATATGTATATTTCGACTGCGAAAAGACTCATCTTCAGTACACATGTCACTTGTTCGTCGCCTTCTATTCAAGCTGCAGAAGTCTTCTGGATGCATTCTACGTAGTCCAGAAGGAAGGCGGCACATCGCAACGGTTGCTATGCATGTTCTTGATCATTGTGTTTGCAATGTTTGTGCGCTACTGCGTGGGCCTGGGCCCATACTCTGGGTATGATACCCCGCCGATGTATGGTGATTTCGAATGCCAGCGACACTGGATGGAGATGACATACCACTTGCCTCGGGACCAGTGGTAGGTAGAACGAGGCAAACTCATACTTTGCGAGGTTGTATGTGATCGAAGTATCCATATTCACCGTCTCTCAGATCAGTCTGCTCTGCGTATGATTTTAAGTACATAGATAATTCGGTTTGGATGACAGCGATACTGTGCAAGTTGTCGTCACATAAGCCGTGGGGTCAGGGGTACTTTTAAATGGCTTCGCTCACATTGATTGTGAAGGTTATCTAAGGATGCACTCTAAAGGGCAAACTGATGAATGGTCGTACGGTAACAGTCGCCTTCCACCCATCTAACACATAAACACTCATGGACTTTGGTGTAAACCGTATTGAGCAGCTTGTGCTAACCAAGTTTGTTTAGTTCTAATCAGAGATCCAGAGGTATGCATGACCTCTGCATTACTATCTACTTTTCCAAATGTTGCGACCGCCTATGCACGTGACATCAGGGGTAGAGCGCCGTACACATGGCCGACTAATTCGCCAATCTATGGGCAGTTAGATGGCAGACCATAGTAGATGGAACTTATCAATGGAACTGTTAGGAGACATACTCTTGCTGTGCTTTTTCAGATGGGTTTGCATATGACAAGCGCCTATTGATCGTAGTATTCTGCGTTCTAACCATGCTTATAGGTACACTGAAGGACCGTACAACAATTTGACATACTGGGGATTGGACTATCCACCTTTATCTGGTATGTCGTGCTGATCGACCTGCATGTGCATCGGCTAGTTTATGTTCTAGATGTCAGTCTAAGTCACAAATCTAGTATGGGGTTTTGTGGTAGCACATGTTCATATAAAGTTCGAGTGATTAAATATAATTGGAAGCCACGAATGCTGTGTGGAGCTCGTTTATATTATGAGCTGGAAAGTTTACGCTGCGTATAGCATCTGCAACGTATTTATCAATTTATGTCGTGACTGTATTATATATATATATATATATACATACGTATATATACATATAAATACATAC